TGCGTAAGACAAAAAGATGGCCTGCCACCAACGCGTCAAGCCGAACTCAGACAAAGAAATAGAAGGAAGGGTCAATAAGGCCAAGACAAGGTGAACAAGGTGCCCGACTCAAACTGTGACACCCTTGCTAGGTGCCAGGAAGAAACGGGCAGGGAACCGTCAGGCAGACAAAGGCCGGATGCATTTCCACTGCCCAGAAGACGCGGTCCTTCCTGTGACGGATCGGACGAAGGCAGAATACCAGCAAGCAGCCCAAACTAGGCGAACGGGCAGCTTCAGGAGCGCTGCCTGCCCCCAAGTCTCCAGGGCTGGGTCAAGCCTGGCCAGTGCGGGGACGCCGGACCTGCTGCAGCCAAGGGGCCAGACACTGTTTCAGGGACTCGCTGCCGTCCTGGGGCCTCATCCCCACAGCGGGAGGTGCCGAAGGCCGAACAGGTGGGGCCAACGTACATAGCTGCCTAAGTAAAGTTCCTACTGCTGGGAACCACCACTTGGCGAAAACATTTCAACGTGCTGAATGGAGGCAGGGGAGGAGCGGCACAAAAGCTCAGAAAGCGTGACACCCTCGGCAGTGAAAGCGACAGCAAAGGGGTCCCGGGCACCCCTGCAAAGCCCACTGATCTATCCCGGAGGAGTGCTTCGAGCCGGCTACCCAGCCAGACAAAAACTGGAAGTGCCTCCGCTCTAGAGATTAGGAGGGAAGTGGGAACAACATGAAGAACCATCAAGCAAGAAAATTATCAGTGGGATACTTGAATATGCCTGCTTTTGTGCTGTTTTTAAATAAGTTTTGCTGCTCTTAAGATTGCAGATGTATGCATGAAAGAGTTTGGGTCAGGGGAAATAGCAAAGGCCGGAGGAGTGGCTGAAGTAGTTTTCAGGACGCTGGAGGCAAAGGGCTCTCTCCTCCGACAACCAAGGGAAGCAGAAGAAATTCTGCACTGGACGGAACAGAATCCAACTTGAAACAGTTCGAACTGATTGGAAAATTCACCTTTTTCCACAGTACTTGTGAAGCACCCCACTAAAGCAAATTTCCCTGACACTTCAAGGCCACGACAGGCTGTGGGCAGCAGCGGAGCAATTCAAGCTCCCAGAAAGAAGAAAAAGCCCCACTACGCAAAACTTTCAACTTCAGCAGCTACCCTGGAAGAATATTTATGGTTTAAATGAAATGGAACAGGATTTGATTAAAAACGGCAAGTGTGTGCAACTTAGTGTGACTCTCGGAAATTTCCTTTGTAATTCGGGGCCAGGGAGAAACATAATTAAAGTCATCTGCCCTCCAACATAAATGTTATTTACAAGTGAAAAATTATAATTTATTTTTTAAAGAAAGTTTCCTCGCTATCTCACCTCATTAGACAAATTTAAATGGAGCCACCGGAGCGTCCCTGTGAAGGCCTGCCCCCTCAAATCAAAAACTTAATAACCTTCCCCTATTTTTAATCAGGGCTATTTTTCATGCCTGTGCCAGCGTTCGTCAAACAGGCTCAGCGGGGAGAGAGAAAGTCCCATTGGGAACCACCCAAAAGGCAGAGCCCCAACAGCAGTGTATTCGCCACCTCTCCTTCACCCAAGAACCCACAAATGCACTGGTTAGGGGCAGGACGGGGGGTTAAATCCAACTTCCAAGTCACTGTGTCACTATCCATAAAACAAGGATTTGCTGAAAGGGTAACCAAAAAAGCAAAGCAGATCCGATGCTCAAATGCTCGCTTCACCTTCCTAAATTCAGCCAGAGCAACTTCCTTTGGGTTCTTCCTCTCAAGCTCTGATACGGTGTCCTGGAGCCCTGCGCCCCTTCCTCCTTTCCAAGGCTCGGATTCTGACCCAGAAATGGAGAGGCCGGCCTCCGCAGCTGAAATCCCACCGACGTGGCACTGCGCCAGGCAGTTGTAGAGGATCGGAGAGTTCCGAGTTTTCGGGGAAGGTTTTGTGAGCGGGCCCGATAGCATTAATTCCAGGATACGGTGTCAGGTTGGTAGGATGTTCTTCTCCCTGAAGAACCCTTTTTGCCTTCCTAGATGGCTCAAAGCAAGCTGCTTTCTCCGCCACGGGCGCACCTGACTTCACACTGCTTGCCGCAGCCTTCCCGGGGATTCCAGCCACACAAATGCATGCAGAATTGTGCTGGACCGGACTGAGGCCCATCTCGCCCCTTATTCTGTTCATACTGCGGCCAAACAGAAACCCACCAACAGGACACGAGGGCGGCAGCACCTTCCTAGCCCCTGATGGAGTTCTCCAACCCCCTTTTAGAGCCCTCACAAGTGACTCTCTATCATACATTTTGTAAAAGTGAACTGCACCGTCCATGGGCTGCGTAAGGAAGGCCATCTTGCAGAAGTGAGTTCCACAGTTCCGGTACATGGTGGGCGGAGAGACCGCTCCTTTCCTCTGGCCTGATTTTCCTACCAGGTTCTAGCATCGTGCATGCGAGAGAAAGAAAAAGGTCTCGCAATCCACTTTCTCCCTGCCATGTCTAATGTTGTTGTCTTACCCACCATTCAGGTATCTCATTTACTTATTTCAGGTATTGTCAGGCTGCTGTTCATGGGGGGAAAAACCTCCCGCAGTGGCTTACACTCAATCAGTACAATGAGATATAACTTGGACACTTGCATTACGAATGCAAGGGAATAAAATGTGTCATATCCTAGCTCTCTGGATGTCACTGGAGTGCGGCTTCCCATCATCCCCACCAATGGCTGGGCTGGCTAGGACTGATGGGAGCTGACCCTTCAGGACCTGAAGGGTCGGAATTTGCCTGCCCTGATGGAACCAGGGAAGCGAGCAGAATCTGAGCTTCACAAATTCCAATATGGACCAGCATCTGGTATTGTTCTTGTATTTCTCTCTGCCTCAGAACTAAGTTACCCTCCAACACTTGTACCTCTGGAGATGCTGCTGCAGTGCTCGGCTCAAAACACATGCTGAAATACGTTAAAAGAAAATACATTTTAAATGGGTTTACACAGAGCACAGATGAATGCCAAAATGGGAACAAACAGATCTATAGCACACTGGTTTATCCATCACCTTAAAAGCATACATGTACACAGAAAGGCCGCTCCTCTTTGAAAATGAGGCTGAGCGAACATTTTAGATATTCTTAATTCAAAAACTTGAAAGGCTCACGGAGGCCAGATGGAAGTGTTTCAAGGGGTTGGGTTTTTGCGATTGCTCACCCAGACAATCACAAAAGCCCTGCTGATTCCAAAGCAAAAACAGATCAATTCCAAAAGAAGAACCCTAAAAAAGAATAAAAGGAGAAAGTGCCCAAGAATACGAACCAACCAGGTAGGAGTTATTTATTTCCCTGCTTCCCGGGCCTCATAAATTCTGAGACAAATTGCTCTGTTTCACAGCACTTAGAATTCTTGCTGTAACAGCTGGCAAAGACAGTAAAATCCCATGACAAATACAAGTATTTCTGAAAGCTATAAAAGTTCAACTGGCTTTTGCCAGCAGGATCTGCAGAGCCTCCAACAGTGCGAGCCCCGAACAATCAGTTTTCCTCTGTTCTCTTGTAAAACACTTTTTTAAAAAATTAAGGCTTTGGCCTTCTCCTAACGATGCGATTAAAGACCTGTATCCTGAATCGCGGGGGCCGTGGATGTAAGCAGGAGCAGCTGGAAGTCCCGAGTTCAAGATAAGAGGCAGTATTAAAATCACACGGCACGGTACAAAGAGAAATCGCTCTAGGAGTGCTTGGGAAATCTTCTGCCAAGCTCCGCGAGACTCCCCGGGGGATTACCGGGTGCGGCTGGTGCCTTGTCTTTTTGGCTACCTGGCAAGGAGAGCTCCGGGAAGCCCAGAGGTCTGATCCATGGCCACCAACTGGGCTGGCTTTACAAGGGGCCTGGACAAACTCATGGAGGTGAAAGTTTCCAGTCCTCATGGCCACGCGTGGCTCCAGGAGCAGAAGGGACTATGCCCATGCACAGATGCCCCTTTGTGGCCAGAGGTCTATCAATCATGCTGTTGCTAGGAGCCTGGCATAAGACGACCTGATGTCTCTCAGAGGGTTTGTGCGACTCCTCCAATAGGCCCCACCAGGCACAGCCAATGGTCAAGGATTATGGGAGCTGCAGGCCACGCCAGCCAGAGGGTATTAATCCGCCTGCCCCTGTGCAGGAGTTAAGAGCATCAGACCAGAGGTGGGAAGACCCAGGTCCCCACTCAGCCATGGGGCTCCCTGGGAGGCGCTGGGGTGGCCGTTCTCAACCAGCTGTGCCTACCTCGCAGGACTGCCACGAGTATGAACAGGGGAAGGGGACTCTGGTGTGCTTGCCGCAAGCTCCTGGGAGGAATGGCTGAGCAGGAATGATAAATACACAGCTCCTACTACCGCCACCCCGGCCCTGCTCCTTCCTGGGTTCTGCATCTCCAGGCGGCAACAGCTCACGACGATACGTCATCAGCTCAACTCCTAACTCGTTGACCCGAGCCCCCAAAATCGCCGCTGCAGGCTTGGGAACCTGCCCTGGGCTCACACATTCCCCTCTCCTTCGTGCATCCACTTCCTCCTCTGTGAGCCTCTAATCTGGCTTCCCCAGTTTGGCAGCCTCCTCCCAGCAGGCTGTGGGTGGTAGCGGAACACATCTGGGGAGCCCTCGGGTGGGGAAGGCCCCTCGATTGGAGCCCGCCATGACATTCAGCTCCGAAAACCCAAGGCTGACACCTTCCCCCCTGCCTAGGGCCCAAAGTCACCCGTCATGCCCCGGGCAGGGAACACAATGCAACTCCACGCCCCAGATCAGGGCGGTGAAATCCCCGCTGGGAAATTCTATAGGCGCACAGCAGAGGTACCCCGTGGTGTTCACTTAGTGCACAGCTGAGCCTAAAATTGCACTCCACCTTCAGACAGAACGTCCCACCATAACCGCATTTAGGCGTGAGAGAGTATTTGCCCCCCTTGGAAAAGCGGTGCTTCCACAGCACCACAAGGTCGGGCGGTTTCGACACAAGGCAGCTCTGCTGGAACAGCGACTTACGGTGGGTGACTCCGGCCAGGGTTTGATAGAAGGTGGGGGTGTCACTGTCGTCCGTGAGCGTGACATACACCCCGCCAGACAGGAGCCAGCGGGAAAACGTGAAGGCCTCTTTGTTGTGCAAGAGCCAGTTCCGGAACCTTTCGTAGTTCACCTTTTCACCCTACGATGAGAGCAGAGAGGGGGAGAGCTAAGCAAAGCCGCTCAGTTTTGCCAGTAGCTACGCTCCTCATCTCCCTTGGGCATCATTTGTCTGTTCACACCCACCTTTTGTAGGGGGCCCAGTGCCGCCCCCTTGAGGACAGCCCTGTAAACCGGATTTCAGGCCCCGAGTGCTGAAATGCTCCTGCAGCTTATGATGTGTCCACAGAACATTGAAAAGTTGCACTTGTCGGCGCAACGGATTTCTGCTGGTGGTGTGACCCAGGGGCTAAGAGTGGGGGCTGCACGGGGTGGCCCCAAGCGGGCCTCTTTGGGCCGAAGCAGCCCTTCGGAGAAGGGCCCAACGTTCTGCCTTTCCGGCTGGCACACTCTGGAAGGGCTCCACAACTGCTACGGCAGGCCAAGGGCCCAACCGTGCAGTGCAACTGCGGAGACTTTCTAAAAACTGGCCGCTTGTATTTTAAGGGGAAGCTTGTCTTGTGGGGCCTGATCTGGAAAAGGGCCTTGCCCCATGTTCCTGTTGAAAAGCACCTCCTCCAGACCGTGGCTTGTTCTGGATGTGCCCACTGCAGCCGGGGAAGGGGTGCTCAGCACCGCAAAAATGGTGCAGGGGCCTGAATCGGCCAGGGCGCTGCAGCTGCTTCGGCTTCAAAAAGAAAGAGGGCTGTTTGTTAAAAGGACGGACGGTGTCATGTGCCACTTTGGCCCCCAGATGGTTGGGGGTTCCCCACCATCAGCCCAGGCAGCAAGCAATGGCCAGGGATGCTGGGAGTTGTTGCAGTATGCTCAGGGACCACTCCACAAAGTCTTGGGCGAGGACAGCTCTTTTGAGCTCCACTAGGCAAAAGCCTTCCAATGAGGGGAGGTGCCAGGGGCATCATGCGGGCCCCCCACCAAGCTCCTGAGGGCTCAAAATGGCTGCTTCTGGGCCGCCCTACACCTACCCTTCAGCGTCTTTCAGAGTATCTAGGCAGGCACTGAACATGCTGAGCCGAATCATGAAAAGACGGTGGTCATTTGTGGCTGGCTTTAACAAAAAAGGGGCTGGGGCGCAGGCAGGCAGCTCCAGGCCCATCCGGATGCTGCCATTACAAGAGGAACTTCGAAAAGGAAGTCAGGTTCGACAGCAGGATTTTTGGAGGGGAAAAAACAGATCTTGCAGATCTTTATGAAACCAGAAGCCAGCAGGAGGCACGTTCTCATCTCTGCAGACGTTGCAGCTGGCAAGGGCCGAAGGAAGCAACAATATTTCGTTGGAAAAGGTACTCGGACATCTCACCCAATCAAGCGGCTGTCTCTGAAAGGGGCACTCAGATGCAGCAACAGCCCTGGAGATGCAAAGTGCTTTCCGTTCCAAGGCCTTGGCCTGCCCAAATCCTTCTTCCATCAGCCAGCAGGCCTGGCCCACCGGCAGGAGGGACTGTCAGTTCGGGCAAGCTCAGCTCATGGCAAGCAGCGGGCCTGGAGAAGCCGATCCGGAGGACACGGATGACTTTTGCGGGGAATGAAAGCATAAAACCCCACTGTACCTTCAGGGCCCATCGCCTCGCTGCAAAAAAATACCAGAATGCGTTTCTCAAGCTCTGTGCCCAGCGTGCTCGTTTCAGAGAAATCCTTTGGGAATCTCTCATTAGGACACGGAGTAGCGTGGCTTTAAGTCTCCCTGCCACCCCACTTAATTGTAATGCATGTGAGGCTGCAGACTGCCTGATTAAAAAAAAAAATCTCCCAGCATTTCCAAGTACGGGACCCGTTAGTGCATTCAAAGCAACAACAACTAAATTGCCGATGAAAAGAAGGCTGGGCGGCACGTTTAACCCCCCCTGGCACCAGGAGGTCAGATTCCGCCTTAAACGTGCTTATCAGCAACACGCAGCTTGCTCAGAAAGCGTGTGGCTCTTTTATGGGATTATCATGGCAAAGTCTCCGGGGCATCTCTGCAGAAATACTTTACAATTAAGCAGCGCACGGTTTACCTGAAGTGAGCGGGAAGGAGCTTGGCATAATGCTACTGCGAGTATTTTGTGTCACGGCTATTATTAGCTCTTTTTAAGATGCTGGCTGAAGCTAATGAAGTCTCGGGGAATCTTTCCGTTTCGGGATTTAAGATCTTTTAATCGGGCTCTCGCCAACCGAGAGCCCGACTTTTCACTGTTTTTTGAGCAACACTCCGGCTGCCGCTCTTGGAGTCTCTTTGCTGGCCTCCTTCCCAAAGCAGGCGCACAGTTTGAGGACGCCGCCACTGGCCACCAGCAGGATCCCTCTCTGGCCTATGGCTGGAGCCTGGCCCACTAAGCCGCCCTGCTTCAGGCCACGGATGCTGCTCATCTCCTGCCTGCCCTCAGGCGTGGCGAGGGCTTCACCATGCTCTGGCCCTTCCGTCGTGGAGTTCTGTTGCACACAGAGCTTTTGCAAGAAGTCTGGGCAGGTCGAGCTTCCCAGGGAAGGCAGACTGGGAAAGAACAACACTGCAGGAATCTCTGGGCGGTGCCGGGGCCGGAAACCGGACAGCACCGCCAGTGCATTGTCCCGGCATCGGGGAGGTGCCAAGCAGGATCCATTTGGAAAGCTTTCGACAACCCTGAAAGGGCAGATGGGGAGGTGGAGGCTGGACCTGGCTTGTCCAAGGTAACCAGGCAAGATCAGGGCAGACGCGAGTGGCTCCTGCCTCAACCGCTGAGCCACTGTCCTGAACCAACCGGGCTGGTCGGTGTCCGGCTGACAGCACCCGCTCACTTCTCTTGCCGCGCTTCCCGACGCAGATCGCGAAGTCTGGTGAGCGTGGTGTGCGCCTGTTTATTGCGTTACTTTCCAGAGAGGAACATCGGCCTCGTACAAATGAACACCGCCTTCCAGTCGCTGTTCTCTTCCACCCACACAGCGGGGAGAGAAAAATATCTATACACACGCGCCATCACACATGGCATTATTTGAGAAAGAGGGGGGAAAATAGCAATCTTTGTGAAGAGGGGAGAATAAAATATTTCTGGCAAGAAATAACGAGTCCCCCTCGTGAAGCACTTTGAAGATGTGGCTGCTTCTACTCGCGGCAGAAGAAAGAGGAGCGCTGGAGAGGCGGAACGCCCAGGTGGCAGGAGAAGCTTCCTTCAGAGATGGACTCCCGAAATCGGGCCGTGGAGGTCGCAACCATCTATTTTCATTTCAAAAGTGAATTCAGCACAGGACGTTTCTGGGGGACAGGAGACGACGCTGGCATATTTTAAAGCGGACCTTTCCCCTCCTTCCTGATCTCCGTGGACGCCGGCTTCCTGAGAGAGTGTTTCGGCACGCAGGGCGCCTCAAGCGCTGCAGGCGGGGGTCCCGTCGGGGCTGGAAAGGGCAAAGAGGCCCCAGAATGGCCGAGTCGCCTGTTCTTTGGACAGCCTGCTTGGAGCACGGCTGAGGCTGAGTTTGGAGGCTGCCAGGGCTTGGCGGCCGGCGCGGAGTACAGCAGGGCATCCGGAACCTTCTTCAGCCGGAGTGTTGAAGGAAGCTCAGGAAAGCTCCCGGCCCGGGGGGGGGGGGGGCACCAAAGGGGCCACATTCCAGCCTACCTGAGCTTAAAGCAATTCCTGCCAGCAGCGAGGCATTCCCACCTTTTAGGATGGGAAGGCAAAAGCCACACAAAATCTGGGAAGCCATCAGTTGACTGCAGGGAAGCAGAGGGGCTGGGAAAGAGGCCAACTGAGGATGCCTCCAAATTCCGGGGGGGGGGGGGTTAATTATATTGTACTGCATTATACTGTATTTTTTCATTCAAAGCCTGCCCTCCTTCCTCCTGCAAGGACCCCACGGCAGCACACACGACTCTCCTCCCCATGTTCTTCTCACAACAGAGTAGGCCGGGAGCTGATCTGGAGGGCGGGCGCCTGCCTTCTGCAGGCGCTAAAAGAAACCAGGAGGCAGGCACCGGGTGCCCTCGCGCCTCTCCTCCGCTACCTGACGGCTGCCAGTTTGGCAGGCAGCACAAGTGGGTGCAGCAGCGGGGTGGGTGCCTTCTCCGGGCCGCATCCAGACAACACCACCTGCCTGTGTCTGCACACTCGGCTTCTAGCACTCTGGGGGGTGGACGGGCTCGGCCGGAAGCAGGGAGCTGGGCTAGGAAAAAGCAAGTGGGGGAATGACCCCGCTGGTACGTTCGGAGGTGTGCGTTTCCACGCTTTTCTTCATGAGGTTCAGAATGCTGGAAAAAAGCGACCCCACGCCCGACAGCGGGAACGGATTAGTGGGTCCCACGCTGCACAGGGAGGGCGGGCAAAGCGTGGCCTTCTGCATGTTCTGGACTACAGTCCCCATCTTCCCTCCTCTGCTGGAAAGCTGGAAGTTGCCATGTCTCTGCGACAGGGGAAGACGCACAGACCTGCTGGGAATTCACTTCAGCACGAACTGATTAAACGGGAGCCCTCTTCCCCCAGCTTCTGAAATGATGAGTTCTGGCACATTCTGAGTCTCGGGGAAATAAGCCGTCTCAGGCTGGGCTTGGAATTAATGGCGCTCGGATATGACTTCGATTGACTTGCTGAGCGCTACTGTTCCAAAGAAATTCCTGTGCTCAACTGTTAACCTCTCAGCAGGGTGAAGTTCAAATACTCCCTCCTTGGCTTGATGAGAAATCCGTCCTTCACACTCGTGCGTCGCATGGCCAGCTCACGGCAGCCGCGTCCAAGGAGCAAGGCTGCGGCAAAGGCAGGCTGCTGTCCGCCCGGCTCTGCCAACACGGCAGGTGGAAATTCGGCAAGTCGTTCATCCAGTCTCAAGCACCGTGCAAATCAGACACCTGCCGCCCGAGTTGGCTTGTGGCAGTCGGCTTGCTCGTGGTTTCACCCTGCTATTTTATGCAAGCATTCTCAAAGCCTCATCGGGACGCCTTCCAAATCATAGTCCAAACTGTGGGAAGGTAGGGGGGAAATGCGACAAATTAAGATTTTCAAGAAGAGGGATTCAGCACCTGAGACCACGTTCTGGATCTCCCCCCCTCCACGCTCCTGTGGTTTGCTCTGCGCTTCCTCGAGAATTGATCCTTCAAGTCCTTGAACTCTGCAGTTGTAGCAGTCTTCCGTTCCTCACAATACGGACAGCTTGAAACAGACGGGTTCCTCTCCAGTCTTCTGCTTGTTTCAACAGCTGATGTGAACCAGGAGACGGCTAGGAGGTGGCAGGGAGACAGGCGGCCTGCAGGGAGGCGTTTTTCACTCCACGAAAGCCATTTCCTTACGGCTTATTTTATCTATTTATTTATTTATTAAAACATTTTTATGCCGCCCCATTCGCCAAAGCCTCGGGGCGGCTTATAACGTCTCTAGGGAGACACCCGCTTTCGGATCAGCTCCCCAACCAGGAAGGATGGCCGATTAAACTTACGCAACCTGGGAAGCGATGGGGAGATACAACATATCTGATGCCGGTTCCCATTTGGACCAACGCCGGCATCCGACTCTCTCCACCCGCTTCTAGTGGACAGAAGTTTAATGCGCCGTCGCTGCAGGCAGGGAAGGGGTGCTGACGGGAGGGGGGAGTGTGGAAGGCAGCGCTTGTGCATGCGGGAACCGGGGAGCACGTGCTTCTTCGTTCCAGCACCCCAGCCCTCCCCAGACCAGGGTACCCTTCACGCCCCACTGCGAGATGCCTTGGAGCCGTGGGGGAAAGAAGATTCTCTCTCCTCCCGCGGCGAAGCCTGCATGCCGTGTTCTGGGGGCACGGAAAGGAGACTGGGGAGGGGAGAAGACCAACGAGTCACCAGCGGGATTCAAGGCAGCCCCTCCTTCCAGAGTTGGTTCCAACAAAGCAAGGGCCACGTCCAAGTCGGCGAGCCTCAGGTGGCTCAAGGACAGACTAGCCAGGTTGAGAGACACACGGTCCCCCCCTCCGGCTTCAGGCTGTGCGGCAAGCTGCAGCCGGGGCCTGAATGTTCAGACCGCCTGGGGGGGTGGCAAGAATGAGTGCGGGTGGGCTGCCCCTGAGCATGTGGACTGAGCTGCTGGTATACTGCAATTTTACAAAAGTGTTTTGCCATGGCTCCCGGGAAGGGCTCGTAGCCTGCAAGGAAGCAAAGATGGGAGCAACGCTGGCGCTTCCTTGTGAAGCGCAGGAAATACCTCGGAGAAGCATTTCTTGAGCGTTTCTGGGACTTTCCCATCCACCATATGAAGCATTCTCTCCATCTCTTCGCGGACGACATAGCTCCCCGACTCGTTGGAGAAGAGGCTGAAAATATCTGTATGGGGGGGGAACAAACAGACGCAGCACAACATTAAACGCAGGTCACAGCAGTACGACGGAAGACTGGGCACCTGCTACCCTGCCTAACAGTTCAAATAGGAATAATATTACCCTTTTCCTTAAATGTTGCTTTGCTAACCAGAGGGTGGAACCACCCGGGGATCCCAAGATTATAAACAGCTTAAATTGCAGCTGCCAAACCACATTCTACATATTCTGGATACAGAAAGCACAACACTGTGCTTGAAATGAAAGGATTCAGTGTCTCCTTGGGGTGAGCGTGGGGAGGAGAGCCCTGTGAAGCTGGCGTGTTTGCAGCCCCACTGCGGGGTGAAACGAAACTTCGCAGGATGCTGAAGGCAGGATGCCCTAGAGCAGAACCCCAGAGATTCGTGTCTGGCGCTCCACTCTGAAGCTCACTGCACGTGTCAGCGGGCAAGTCGTAATCTCTCAGCCTCTCTGGGTAGCTGTGAGGGTTTAATGAGGAGCCCGTTATGAACCTGCGTGCCTTGATTGGCAGATGCGGGACGGGGGGGTGGAAGTACCCACACGCCATGAACCTGGCCCACCTCCAGCTCATCATACCAGCTAAAGGAAAGCCAGTTTTTCGGGAAAGCGACATGACGAACTTCCTCCCAGTTTGGCAGGAATGAAGAGGCTTGATTATACTAAGCGGCATACAAGTTTTGAAAATGCGTGTGCACAACCCATCCCCGCTCTGTCGACGGCCAGTGGCACTTACATTTGGCTTTCTCTTCATCTCGGCCCCTGGTCAGGAGGACCAAGCCCACGATCAGGTTGTTGAAGTGCAGCCCTTTGGACGTGCCCCCGAAAGAGCAGTATATGACCTGGAAGCAAAGAGAAGACGACGTGCGCCGTGATGCTTCCGCAGGCATGGAGCCCTGCGCCCTCCAGGTGTTCTGGACCACAGGACCCGCAAGCCCCGGCTACTGGTCACGCTGGCTGGGGCTGATGGGAGTTGTAATGGGAAGCACCAGCTTGCCTTCCCCTGCACGAGGCACTGCTCAAGCATTCCCCCGAAGGCCGCCTGCACGCAGCGCAGGTGCGCACGCACATCCTGCCTTCCCCAACGCACAGGGAGGACACACTGACAGACTGTGGTCTGCCGGGAACCCCCCGGCAGGCCTCCGGGCAAGAAGCCATCGCTTCACTTGCGGGCGGCTGGCAGGACAACCACGGGAAGGACGCCCGTGACATGCACGGGACACACCGAGCGCTCCGCGGGTTAGGTGTGGCTGCGTGCTGCTTGCCCCCACCCAGCGCAACTGTGGTGGGTCCGGCCGGCCGGCTCAGGGGGCCCCAGGTGCTGCTCTGGGGGGCCACCCGCACTGCTTGCAGCACAGGACAGAAACGGGCTTCCCCGGCCAGGCGCCCTCTGGTCCCCCAGCACCTCGACGGGCGTTGTAGTTCCAGAGGGCGCCGGACCATTCCGGCACTTCCACCCCGGCATCGGCTGCCAGGCCATGACCAGCCGCCCCACAGTGGGAATGCTGCACCCCCCCGCCCCACAGCTTGCTTGACTCATCTGTCCCCATGCACTCAAGGGAGGTCAGATTACTTATTCGCTGCCCTTCAGGGTGAAGTGCCAGAGGATTATTTATAGGCCTGGAGTCACGCGAGGTGTCAGCACAGGACAACAGCCGCCCCTGCCAGCTTTTACAACAGCCCAGCTGGTGGGGCTTCTCTGCACCTCTTTTGGGCCCCCAAATGACTGATCCCGGTGCCCCGAAGCAGGAGGTCACCAGCACGTGGACAGCGTCGGGAGCGCCTCTCGCCCTGGCAGGCCAGTCTGCAAGAAGAGGAGGGGGCCCGGCCTGGTCTCCTTCCGGACTGCCAGGTGCTATGAACCAGGTGGGCAAGATCGCAAAGCCCTTCAGCCAGCAAGTCCCTGTTCAGGGGACACCCCGTCCATCATTCCCACGGCGGCACGTCTAATTTCGCGGCCCATCCCTCGGAGACTGCAGGGCCAAGCCGGGGCGGCAGGCCTCGTTCTGCCTGCGAACGACGCTGCCCTTCAAAGATGCTCTCGGGGTCCTGTTCCGGCGCTGAGGGGGGCCAGGGCTGGCCCAAAACCAGCAGCCTTTTTGAGCTGCTGATAGCAAAGTCTTCGGAGACTGATTTGACTTGGTGTGGCTGCCTGAGCCAAGAATTCGAGGAATGGTCATGTGCCAGAAACCCTAGCCCCCTCCATGCTGGTTGCGATGAGCCTTCCCCGGCTCCGCAAGCGCCGAGCCAACACACACGGAGAGACAGGCCAGTGTCCAAGGGTTTGAATGCGCATGCCAGGCAGCCAGGCACGCATGCACGCGCATAATGCTTCCAACTGCACCCTCCAATGTTTCCAAGCCGGCCAAGGGCGCCCATTCACATCGCAGAATGTAGAGGTCTCCCTCAAAGTCAGGGAAGCGCAGCCCACGCCTCGCACCCTGTTCTTGTGGCCAACAGCACCCACCAACGCTGGCCAAGACAACCAACGGCGGCGCTGCAAGCTCTTCCTTCCGCCGCACATTTCAAGCCACAGGCCTTTCTTGCAAAACCTCCTTCACTGCCCAAAGCCCCTTCCAGAGGCGCAGTCCCCCAGAATGAATCTCTGAGCATGCACAGAGCGGTTTGCCGAGCCCAACCCGGTCGGTCCTTCCAGGAACTCTCCTTATGCATCCGCACGGGTCCCCCTTCTTTTGGGAGGGGCCCAGGGCAACAGGCAAGCCTCATCTCCGCACACCGATCCCATAACTGGGCTGCCCTCCTCCACCAAGGTCACATCATGGGGTCGAGAGCCGTGCCCACCTCGCCGGTCCCTGTTCCAAGCCCCGCACCTTGACGGCAGAATGCCTCGGATGTCCGCAGAGGCTGCCTACACGCCTGGGGAGCCTGGCCTCGTGGTGAGCACCCCTGTTTCCCTCACCCCAACTCTCTGGAAACGAGGCGAGGACGGTGCACCAAGCCCATGCCACTGGCTGCGAGAAAAGGTCCCCACAGCCAGAGAAGAGCTGGAAGGGGCCATGAAGGCCACAGGTCCAGCCCCCCGCTGCTGCAGGGCGCCACGTTATGCCATCCCACTCGGGTGGCTGCCCGGTTTCTTTTTGAGTGTCCCCAGTGTGGGAGAGCCCCACAACTCTCTAGGTCCCGAAGGTGGACCCCTGTGCCCCCCACCCTGGTCTGGCCTACAGCCCCTACCACCCCCAGTCCGCAGAGCAGGACAGAGAGACTCACAGCAGCTGCTGTGCCACAAGTGGCCACCCGTGGCTTCCCACCATTCTTCTCCATGTCCCAAGATCTGCCTGTTGCTCCCAGGAAATTGCCAGCCCCGGGACCAGTGCGCCCAACAGGGGCCAGGCTGCACTGAGCTTCAAATCGCAGGGTCCCCGGCTCTCACTGTGTGCATTTCGCTTCAGGAAGGGCCAAATTTTCCACACGGCCCCTGCAAAATTCGCTGGAGCGGAGGTCACCTGCTTGCCTCCTTTTAAGAGCCACGGAGACGGCTCTCCCCTCTGCGGAGCCACATTGTCTTTGCAACGCCCAACGTGCTCCATGGCACCTACTAAGATTTCTCTGCACTGGTGCAAAACGGCTGACTCCTCCGGAAGAAACCTGCCGGCGTTGCAATTAAGCCCGGCTGCTACGTTGACAGCTGCGGGAAGGAAGGGAAGGGAAGGGAGCATCCAGCGGTGCAGCTGGAGCATCTCCCTCGGAGCGGGAGCTCCCAAGCGGTGCGCCAGGACACCCTCACCGGCCGTGCGAGGTGAAATCGCCAGCTCGTGAGTGCCCGAAGGAGCCAGGCAGGCGGGTGGCCGCCTGCCCCACCTCTGCACAATGCCCAGCCCTTCCTCTCACCCACTCCCCACCAGCCTCCGTTTGGCCACAGCAACCACTGGAGCGTCTGGCAGCTCTCACGCCGGGGGCTTGGCGGAAGCCCCCCCCCACCTCTTCCCAAGTTCCTTGGCCTCCTCACAGCAGCTTCCACAGCATCGCCCCGGCGGCCCAGGCAGATCTTCGCACTGAGCCCAACGCCACATTCACCTGCCAGCCCAGGTGACTCGCAAGCGCTTCTTCCACAGAACCAAGGTGCCTCCAGGTTCACTTCCAAAGTGGGAACCCTGAAGGTCTGGGCTTAGGACCTGGTTACCTGAAGGAGCGCCCCCTTCCGTACGTGCCTGCCCGCCCCTTCGGGTCTGGGGCAGAGGCTCTTCCCTGGGACCCCTCCTTGAAGGAAATTAGGAGGGCAATTACCCAGAGAAGGGCGTTCTCTGTGGTGGCACCCCGATTGTGGAATATGCTCCCCAGAGAGGTTCGTCTGGCACTGCCGCTTTCTTCTTTTCAGCACCAGGTTAAAACCTTTTTATTTTCCTAATATTTTCAGGTCTGACTGTCATTTTAATATGGTTTTTATTGTTGACTGGTGAAGAATTTGATTTGGATGCTGTATTATTTTATTTTTGCCTTCCTGTTAAACCATCCTGAGACTACAGTAAGGGATGGTCTAAAAAAAGTTTTAAATAAATGAATTAATGCCTTCCTGCTGTTGGGAACTTAAGGAAAGGCTGTCCTGAAGTTGGGGGCAGACAACCCCTTCTCACCAGGGGCTGAAAGGAGCCCCACTGAGAAGACCACTCATTTTACACACAAGGCATTCCAACTGTCCTTAGAAGCTCAGGTGACGGCGCTGGCGAGGAGCGCCTTCCTCCAGCTTCGGCTGATCCATCAGCTGTGTCCCTACCTGGAGAATGACTGCCTGGCGACAGTGACACACGCAATGGTCACTTCCCGACTAGACTTCTGTAACGCGCTCTACGCGGGGCTGCCCTTGAAGACGGTCCGAATACTTCAACTGGTGCAAAACAGAGCTGCTAGGCTGCGGACGGGAACTGGGCGTTGTTCTCATATAACCCCAGTCCTCCGTCAGCTCCACTGGCCCCCCACTGAAGTCCGGGCCCAATTCAAGGTGCTGGTTATCACCTGTAAAGCCCTCAACGGCTTAGGTCCTGGTTATCTAAAGGAGCGCTTGTGTCCATATATGCCCTCCCGCCCTCTGAGATCAGTGGGGGAGGCCCTTCTCCGGGAGCCCTCTGTGAAGGATGTTAGGAGGGCGAGCACCTGGAGGAGGGCCTTCTCTGCGGTGGCGCCCCACCTATGGAATGAGCTCCCCAGAGAGGTCCGCCTGGCGCCGTCTCTATTTGTTTTTCGGCACCAGGCCAAGACCTTTTTATTTAAACGATATTTTAATTGTTAACTGTTGTTTTTATTTACTGGTTTTACACTACTGCCGAGATGCTCTGGATTTTTAATGTTTATTCTATGTTTTAGTCTGCTTTGTAAGCTGCCCCGAGGCTTTCTGCGACGGGGGCGGCATAAAAATGCTATAATAAATAAATAAACTCCCATGCTGACAGCATGCAAAGCCGGGGATGGGAGCTTCCTAGACACACGACGACTCAGGAGGGGCGACGTGTGTGGCATCTTGCCTGCATTTGCTGCAAGAGAAAAGGTCTAGACCAGGGAGAGGCAATGAGGGTGCACAGGGAGAATGAGGCAAGGAGGGGACGTTGTGCTCCTTCACACCCCATTCAACTCCTCCCTGATTTGGCCACAACTACCCCTGAACTTACACACATTTTTTCAGGTCTCCATGAAGTCTGGACACTTCCCTCGCCTTCCATGCCAGCTACCCGATTCATTGTGAGGCGGAAATCTACATAAGGGCCGACAGGGAGCGAATGCTCCGTACCCCCGTATGGACGCCCCCCACAACTCCTCACGCGTGGGCAGAAGCACAGCAAGCATGCCCAGAAGAGATGCGAGCCGATCTCCCAGTAATGGCCTTTCAAGTGATGGAGAAAATCATTAGCCCATTTCGTCGGAGATAAATAGGCTGCGCCTTGTCCTGACTTCACTTAATGAGAGATGCCTGGATACCTAATCATTCATACCAAAAAAATCAATAGCGGTGTTTATCACAGAGGGCCTCCAGGTTGAGATGGATTTCAAAATTATGTTCTGCAAGGCCCCTGGCTGCTTCAGTGCTTTCACGACCCGCTGCTCGCCCCTTCGAGCTGCTTTTTCTGCCGCCACGAGGCCTAGCAGCTTGCCTCCGTCGAGCACCACTGCGGAGTCTATGAATTTCACATTTGTTTCTAGGCCATGATTAATGTTTGGAGCTGGCCCAACCATTTGCGGGGGGGTGGGGGGAAATTCTGCAAGGTTCTCCCCAAGTTCACACAAAGACTCAGCACAAACTCTCTTGATTTGGGGAGAGACTCACCGGCACCGAGCGTGAGGCTGACTCATTTCCCGTATCTTTTACCTCTGGGGTCAGCACCAGAGAGTGCGGCGCCCCAATCTGGCCCAAGCTGCTGCCAGCCGTGCAAGCCACAAAGCTGCCCATCCCACCGATTCAAACAGGCAGGTTCACCCTTTCCCCTGTGCGGAGCAGCTCACTCCAACCTGACATCCTCCATAGGAGCTGGACTACAACCCACATCATCCCTAGCCAGCACCAGGAGGCTGAAACTGGCAGGATACGTCAGGGCAGGCCTGACCCTTCTCAGTAATTTCTTCTAACTCTACATTCCTTTAGTTTCGTTTTTCATTTAGCTGCTTAAGGCATTTCCTCTACCTGGAACGAGCATGAGGATCATGGTGACCGTTCATTCTTGTTTTCCTTGCTGGTTGCCCAGGGCTTTTAGTGTCCTTTTAATCTTCTGACCAGCTTCTTCAGTTGTTCATTATCAATCACCTCCTTAGCAATTTTGTTTTCTTCTTCCTAGTTTTTTTTTGGGGGGGGTTCAAAATGTTCACCCCCAACTCACAGCTTTCACTCAAAAGCTCTTTCTCTCTTTTTGATGCTGCTGTCTAGGCCTGGGAAAAAATTCCAACTGAGATCTGACCAGTTAGGGACTTCAGACCTTTTATAAATCTTTTAAGAACACTTCTCCCATTTTTTCTTTTTAAACCTGGCTCCTCTCCTCCCCGCATTTTTCCTTCTTGCACTGAACTGATTTGTCTGGCTGTGGGAGCAGCTCTCTCCAAAGTGACACCCTCCAAATGCATGGAACGACGCGTGCTTGGACTTGGGGTCCCATGTATCTGGGGCGTGTGTGTTTGGGGAAAGCTCTGAAGGGCTGCCTAGCAATGCGAACGCTCTTCCTGAAGGCATGGCACTCGCAAGCAACATCTTGACCCCCTGACGTAGTTTTTAAAAATAAGGGACCAGGCTGCTCCTTGCGCAAGGTCACACGCTCAGAAGACTGAACTGCATCCAAGTGACAGATGAGCAGCTGGCTGCTCAACGGACCGTGTGCCCTGTCAACAGACAGCCGGTCCCAGCCTCATTCTGTACGGCCGGGAAGCTGTCACAGAGAGAGCGGCTTCCACAAGGCCCTGGCTTTATTCTGCCATGAATTTGGCCAGCCAGTGCGGGAAAACCCAGAGAAAAGATTGCAGTGGATCGAATTCTTCCACGGGTCAAGTTGAATAATGTGTCAACGGGAACAGTAAATGACTTATTTAAAAAAAATGCCATGAGACCTGTTTTTCCCTTGACCGGCTCAGCTATTCGGCTCGGAGAAGTACCTTGGGCTGGCAGAGGAAGAGCATCTTCCGGCAGCCAGCTCACCTTCGGCAAATGATTTCGAGCAAGGCTGCACTGCATCATACGGACACCCCAACAATTTCCGAGCTGTGAGATGTTTGCTCAGGCTGGGGCGCTCTCTCACTAATGCTTCATGCACGCCTGGAAAATCCCCGAGTCCCTAAATGGCAGACATCCTATGACAGCGTTGCTCTCCCTCCCTCCCTCCCTCCCAGCTTCTCCTGCTTCTCCAGCTGGGACCGTTTCCTCGAAGGAGACCAAAGACCCAAAATTGTGCGGCAGGGGAGCCCTACCATCTCTCGTGCTTCCTGTTCTTCCTGTTTTCTCTCCGGGAGTATTTCTTTACGCAAGGTATTTCTACACTGCTCGATCAGACGAGCTCTCAGAACGGTTTACAGACTATACTTTAAAAAAATCAGTAACAATTAAAAAACAAACTTAAAACAACCCTGCCTTGTCATAAAAAAGCCACTTAACAGTAAAATTGGGCAGGCCGTGATAAACCAGTAACCAAACAATGACCATTGCACCTGTACCAGACAGTTTAAAATCGCAATCAGCAATTAGCATGGCAAGAAAATAAGAATGCCTTGACCTGGAACATACGTATTGTTGGCACCGGGTGTATTTCCCTGGGGAACCAATTCCACAGATGGGGCACCACCACCGAGAAGGCCCTTCCACTCGTCGCTAATCACCCTCTACCTACTTCAGGGGTGGCTCATCGAGAAGGACCCCTGTAGGTGATCTAAGGGTCCCGCTAGGTGTGTGCAAGATAGCAGCAGAAGTGGAGGGAGGGGGCACACGTGGAAAGGTGGGGAAGGGCATCTCACCTTAGGGGAAAAGGCATGGGAGCAAGAATAACCCTTAAGGCACTAGCAGACCTGCCTATGCTCAGTCTGTCCGCCTTTGCTCCCTCGGGTCATCAAAACCGTGACATGCAAATTGGGAGTGCTTTGGGGTCAGGGATGGCTGGCCTACGATCCCCTCTGGTAGCTGCCGGCTACCTAGTTTGGATGAGGCAACATCTTCAAGTAAGAAGCACGCGCTTGAAAAATGAGAAAGATAGACACAGACTTTGCACGGCAGAAGGGCTGGTATCCCGGTGGATCAAGGACTGAGGGGGGCTGCAAGTACGGCGCATGCCCAGAACGGGTCACATACATTCAGCGTGCACCTGCTCCCCCCCCCCCGCACATCTTGGGGGATGCAGCCGTTACCTCTGCAACCTTGGGAGGAACGCCGTCCCCGAGCACGTCCCGAACGAAGCACTGCTGGCTCATGTAGCAGGAGAGTCCGCAAGTCCTCTTGAAGGCATCCTTCAGCCGCTTCAGCTCCACGTCTGTGACTGCAGTGAAGGAAGGGGGGGGGATTAGGTACATTCGCTGTGACCAAGAAACTTCCAGCAGGCACCACTCCCCCCCCCCACACACACACACAATAGAAACAGAGAAACAGAGCAAGTCAGAAGGGGCCTCCCGGGCCATCTAGTCTGACCTCCGGCACCAGCCGGCTCCGCTCATGACATGCCCACCATGTGCATGTCCAGCCTATCCTTGAACACCCGCACCGATGGGGCCTCAACGACCTCCCGTGGAAGCCCATTCCATTCCTCAGGCTCTGCTGGCCTGGGCCGGGTGAGGAGCTGGAGAACGTGGCAGGAGGCCCGGGGAAGGGGAGGAGCCAGCCGGGGAGGCCCTGCAGCTGCCCGGGCAGGCCGACCCACGACCCCAGCCCTGTGCTGGCCACCGTGAGTGAACGTCGCAGGCCAAAATACCTGGAAGGCCCCAAGGGCACCCCGATTGCATTGATGCGAAGCGGCTCCCCAGAGCATTTGGAAACAGGGCTTCCCTCGCCCTGCCCGGAGAACGAAGCTGTGGCGTGCGGCGTGCCAGGTCCCAGGGCCCTCCTCTGAACTGGGGAGGGTCGGGAAAGGGCATGCGCCACAGGAGAAAACGGAAGGAGCTTGGTGGTGCTGCGCACGGCCTGAGCGGGAGGGCGGAGGCCACAGGCGGAACGGAAAAGCGAGATGCTGAACTCCTGAACCCGGCACCTGGGTCACTTCTGGGCTGATCCTGACTACGAGGCCTGCTGCCAGGCTCCGGGGGCGTGTGAAGCGGCACACGCCTTGCTCTGCAGATGTCGGGTCCAATCCTGGCGACTGCAGGGTACAACGGTCGGTTCTGGGTGACAAGGAAGCCGCCTGTCCCTCCAGGACCATGCGAAGCCCCTGCCTGCACCGGGCAGCTGGACCTCCCCACACCCCGGGGCCTGCGGATGCCTTGGCCTGCCGCTCCCCTCAGCACCATCCAGCACAAACCAGGGGCAAGGAGGATGGGAACTGCTCTGCAAAGCCCAGGCTGGAGCAGGAAGTGCCGGGAGGCTCAGCTGCCTCGCCTGTCCGGATAGAACAGGGCCGCCTTTAATTCCAGGACCACCTCCTTGGGTTCCCCAGCACCAAGAAACAACGCCAACTCTGCCAGTGTCCATAGGGCGGGAGAGAAAGGGGGAGAACGTGGCGCTGGAAGCGTGCAACTGAAACCTGGAAGGACCGGCCTCGGCCCTTTCCTTGAGGTGCGGCATCACAGCCTTGGTCTCCAGCCAACTGGGTCCAAACGGGATCCAAACTGTGGGCCTGCAGCCAAGGCCTGCGGAACCCCCAGCATCTTCACTGCACGATTCCCCACCTCCTCTGAGGCTTCTAGGCACGTGGCTCTCTCCTCCAGTTGGCCTGTGCTTGATTGTTCCAGGTCTTCCCAGCCCAAATGACCCCCTCGCACATCCCCTTCCAAGATGCCTCCTTTCCTGGGCCGGTTTTATCCCACTCCTCAGCCAAGGCAGGTTGAGGTGGCCGAGGTGGGGGCAGGCCAGCACGCAGGAGGGGGTTTTCCACAGACATCGTCGCTCGCTTTTGCAGGGAAAATTGCCGGCCAACTCCTTGTACCCTCGCAGTTCAGACACCGCCGGGCTGATTGGTATTCCTAGGCTAGAGCTAGAGAAGGCCGCCTGATCTGCATCCAGCTCCCTTCTGGCATAAATTTCTTCACAGACAGTATTTTAATAGATACGACGCCTTTGTTTACATACTGGGAAATGTTATTGATTTAGTTCGGCGCTGCAACGTGTATTTCCGCACACGCTCTCCCCCTATGATTTGCAGGCTGCAGGAACATTTCCGCTCCCTCCTGCAGCCCCACATCAGGCGGCGCAGCACAGCCACCCAGCCGGCTGGCAGGAATTCAGCCGCAGTGGGAGCACGTGAAAGCGGCCAAGCGCAGGGCGCGAAGGGCCCTCGACCAGCTGACTGCCTGGTGCCTGGGACCAGCTACCCGGAGATCTGACAGAAGGAGAGAACGCGCCACTGCAACACCATCCCCTTGGCTGTTCTCTCCTTCGAGCCTTCCAAAGCAAGCCCTCCTTGGTTTCTTTTTCTTCCTCCTGTTCGATGGAAAGTTAGCAGTAATTTAGAAAGCCGCTTAAGCAAAAGATTAGAGAAGGGACCCTCACTCGGCGCTCTCTAGGGAACGCTGGAGCGCAAGCTCTTCCCGAGCTTAATTACATTTAAGGGAAACTCTGCAAACTCAGCTAAAATCCCACGCGGGTGCTAACAGATCTTCGGCCTATGCAACCTGTGAGATCAATTAGACTTCAAGACACTGGCACATGAAGAATGTGGCTTGCACAAAGGTATGATTAAAATATGCAAGCACTTCTAGTTTGCAAATATTGGGATTTTGTGCTGCTAAGGGGATCCCGCTTACCTCTTCCTATTGCCTGTAACACACAGAGATGAGAGGGGAAGCGAGGGAGGCTCTACCTTCCCAGCAGAAAGTCTACTTAAAGTTTTCCTCTTCCCTCACCACCCCTTCTTCCTTGCATGTTGTGTCTTTTCACTAGACACCTGCAGGCGGGGACCATCTTGTTTCCCCGATTCGCACTGAAATGACAAGCCACAATTTAACAATTCAGCCACAACCCGTTTTATAGGTTTTTATGCCATGCAAACCACATCAGTCGCTTAGTACAAGGCAGCCAACAGAATGAAGGAATTTCTATGCTGCTTGTTTCTGAACAAGCCCAAGTCATTTCTTTTGATGTGGATTTTGCCAAGAAACAGTATGCTTCCTGGAAATCCACACCTAGTTTCTGCACCTTTGGAACATACAGAAATCCACTGGATCTAGTTTTTCGTTCACATGTTACAAATATGAGCAAGGAAAGGTTCACATGGGAAGAAAAAGCACACCACCATGTGGGACAGAGACATCTGGGGGATATCCCAAGCATTATCGTCCTCATTCAAAGAAGCTTGGAAATGAGTCTGCAACTACGAGTTGGAAACAAAACCAAACGAACGCAAGGGAAGTTTGGCAAATAAAACCAGGGCATATTACTGTAACCCGGTTTGCTACAAGGAGGCGCAGGCACTGGGAAATTCATGTGTGATTTAAAAAAATCACGTGCATATTACCTGAAAGGCAAGCCGACTGCAAAAAGAGAAAAACAATGTTATCTATTACTTGGCACTAGAACTTGTCTGTCTGCTAATACATACCAAGACACAGCTCAGTTATTCCCCATATCACAAGCGTACATTCGATTCTGAGTATCACTTTCCATTCTGCACTGCCTAGATTCTTGCCCACTTTCGGGCAAGAATTCTCATGCTATTGCGTGAACCACGAAATTAGTATTGCATTGAGAAATCTCCGGTCTCAATGACTATTATGCACTTTGTGTAGAAATGGGAAAGGGGGAAGCATTTGGAGAAGGCATTTCCCAAGGGTTCTATTCTGTCCCCCGCTTGAGCCTTCGTACCTCTAGCTCCGTGTGCGGCTGCCCCCAGGCAGGGTCCGGATGGTACACCCTCTCTCTGGAGACCCTCCCCTCCCAGGAATAAAACGCCATTTTATTTTTATTTTACGTCTGCTGCCATTTCAGCACATGTTGGGAATTTTTATCTACCTGAGCACTGCTTGACATGACGCCTGTCTTAAGACTTCGGGTTTGGACAGCTGATGTGTTGTTTAGTTGCACTGTGCGCTAGCTGTGATGTGGGCGCGTTGTTTTATACTGCCTGGGTATGTCGGCCCTCCTGCAGGTGCACGGGATTGCTGCCACCCTCAACCTGCTCTTCCTAAGCCTGGGGGAAAAAGTGGGAGGCTTTTCCTGGTGGATACACTGAGATTAGGAGGCGCTCGGAAGCAGGAAAATGCCCTGGTGCTTCAGCACGTCTTCAAAGCCCGGTGAAAGGGCAAGATGATTTCTCCAGCCAAGCTGAGAGAGGGTTCGGATCAAGGAGCGATTCGCCTAGACTGGCTGGGCCTCAAGGCCAGCCAAACTCTCTCTGGGAAATGCTACACACTCTGTTGTGCTGCGTAAAGCCTTCTCTGCTGTCATGCCTGGGTGTCTTCCTCCCTCCCCTGCAAGATTCAGTTTAAAGCCCTCCTGATAAACTTCTTCATGCTGTGGCCAACACCTGTCCAGCCCTTGTAAGGTGCAGCCCACCCCTCACCAGGACTCCATCTTCTGGGACATGCATCCGGTGGCCCTGGACTCCATATCTCTCGCTTTTCTTTCCCTGTCTATTCCTCTTCCAAGAACTGCAGATAAGAGAAAGAAGAAACTCTCTGGGCCTCAAAGTTCTTGGCTTTCCTCCCTAATGGATAAAGGATATAAAGTATGGAGAGGGAGCCGATTCACTAGGCAGGCCTCCTCCAAGGGCTTCTACACCCCAAGCCCATGTGGAACCATCAGAAGTGCCTCTGCTGACGGCCTCGGTGACCCAGCAGTGAGGGAGAAGGTTCTCACTTGAAGCAAGATCCCATTTCACTGGCTTCTGCTTGTGAACCATGTGTTCACGCAGAGAGTCATGCTCTTTATGGAGTGAGAGAGGCATGCTCTTTACGGAGAAGTGGCTACAGCGACTCTGCTCACTTCCTCCTCTCTCCGGTGCAGCACGTTGGAAGAACAATCCGCTGTGGCAATGACTCTGCCACTTATTGTGAAATCTTGCTCTCCCTTTCCTGTAATACAAGGATTCAATGCTGCAGCTGATTCAGGGCAGACGAGAGGGGAGCACTTCCCTCCACACAGAACCAGAATCGATTTATGGTAACGGAGAGAAGGCATGGCACGGGCTCCTACTTCCAAAATGTTTCCTCAGTGGACAGTCTTGCCTAGAGCGACAAGACCATGGGTTGTTGCTTTAACCCATGATTTGGCCGCCAGACAATAGAGCGAACTGCTGGTACGCTGGCTCCTTTTCCCGTGGCGCACACTCTCCCTGATCCCAAGCACCTTCCTGGCATTGTAATAATGGCATGCAGAGTGGCTAAGGTTTCTGAC